CCCAAAGGGCAAAACTCCCTTTTCCAGGAGGAAAAGCAGCTGGGCAATAGGGCCAGGCACAGCCAGAACCGGCAGCCCCTTCTCGGAGCAGCTAAATCCACTGGGAAATAATGAAACACATCCACCCGTGGGTTTGGATGTGGGGCTGGGTGTTTGCGGTGGGTGAAAACACACCTGTGTCGCACCGGGAATGCGTGTCACCGAGGATGGGGGGTGGTTTTCCATGGGAGGTTTGTGTGCGTGTAGGATTCATCACTGGATATATAATAATAATACTAATAACAACAACAACAACAACAACAACAACAATAATAATAATAATAATGCCTGCTTTTGGCACGGTCACCGGTCCGGCTGGCTCCCCCCCCCTGCCAGTCCCGGTATTTGAAACCCATCCCATGTCACATCCCTCTGCCCATTGGGGTTATTTCCCTCCAGGTCATTAAAAGAAGATTATTTTTTTTTAAAGATTCTTTTTCTAAAGCCACAAAGCCGAAAGGGAAAAAGTCTTCCCTGCCGCCCCCGCGGGTCCCCCTGCCAACTGCTGCTGCCTTTGGGGACACTTTGCCAACACTTGCTGCCATCCCCCCGTGCCGGGCCTGATGCTCTTTCCCCCCAGGAACCAGCCCCAGGCCCCCCCAAACACCTCCCGCCCTGACCCGCACTCGCTCCCTGCCCTCAGGTGATGAATTACCCTGCGCCGAGCGGCTGCAGCAGCTTTCAAAAAACATGGAAATACCATACTACAAAATAAGCTGCAGTGCATTAAAAAAAAATTTTTTTTAAAAATCTATATTGCCTCTTGCCATTTCTAAATCTCCACCCGGATTTAGGGACAGATGCCTCTGCTTTTTCCCCAATAAATTGCATTATTGCATTCAGGCTCGGGGCAATGATGCAAAATCCGAGGGACTCGCTGAGCTCCCCCTCGGGCACCCCGCAGCTGCCCTTTCCGCCCGGACAAGTTGCTGTTTGTTCTTTGACCTTTCAGGGTTTGTTTGTTTTTTGTTTTTTTTCTCCTTTAACATCATTTTCAGCCCGGAGAGGTGACAGAAGCAGCAAGGAAAGGACCTGAGCCCGGGTGCCAGCTACTGCCGTGCCCTGCCAGCCGCAGGGCTGGGGGGGTCGGGATAGCATCAGCATCAGGATACAAACAGCCTCTGGATTTTGTGGGCTCGGTCCATCCTCTCCAATATCCGAACCTGCCGTTTCCCGCCGTCCCTGTGACATTTTCTTCCCGGTACGTTCCCTCTCGCAGAGCTGCATTTGGAGGTTTTTGCTTGGCAGAGCCTGGGCGAGGATGAGCCAGGCGGGTACCGGGAACACCCACGGCTCCAGCTTTATTTTCCAATTAAATTAAAGGATAAAAATTAAATTATTTCAGAATATAGGCCAAACTACCTAGCCAGAATTTGGAGAAAACTTTCTCCATCAACTCAGTTACTGAATATTATGGGAAATAGCGTACCTTCACCCAGAGTGTTTGGGAATAGCTGTTAGCTAGGACACCGGGCTTGGACAGGCACAGAGATGCTCAGCCCCGACTCCCCTGTTTTCCCCCGGCACCCTACACTTTTCCATTCCCTTTGCTGCCCGACGGCCCTCCTGGGTCTCATCATTTTTTAGAGCCCGTGAAATGTCTTTTCTAAAAATCACAAAGTTGCAGCTGAAATAAATGCCCTTCGGCAGGCACCCGTCTTTGCACCCATCCTGACTTTCGGGCACGGCGGTGTTTGTGTACGGAACCAAAGCCGCACAACTGAGGTGCATTTTTGCAGCTCTCCGGGGAAGGGTCTCACGCTGCTGTTCTTTTTTTAACTGGATTTTTAAAACCAGATATTGCTCTTGGGAAAAACACCCCAAGCAAGTAAGAAATAACACCGGAAAACCACTCCGGAGCGTGGCATGACGCATTCCCAGCCTCAAGCCCCACCGGGGGTGACCGTACCGACCAAACACCATGGCAAAAAAAAACCCCAACCAACCCCCGAGCCCACGCGAACCCGCACGGTTCGGCCACCGTTTCCACGTGGGATTCCTGGACAAACCCAGCCGGGATTTGGCAGAGCGCAGCCCGAGCCCCGCACAGGTTCGGCGTCGTCTCGGCCGCCCGATGCCGAGCCGCTCCCACTGGTAGAGGGGACGGACGGACGTCGGGACCGACGGCTGTGGGAAGGGCGAGTGGGTACCTGGGTCTCGGAGAGGCTGAGGCTGCTGGCCAGCTGCTTGCGTTCGGCGCCCACCACGTAGTGGTTCTTCTCGAAGGCTCGCTCCAGCCGCAGGAGCTGTGACGGCGAGAAGGCGGTGCGGATGCGCTTGGGTTTCCGGGCGAAGGGGCCGTGGAGGAGCAGGCTTTCCTGGGACACCTCGCTCCCTGCGGACAGAGAGCCCCGTTAGGGTCCCGCGCCGGCACCCCCCCAGCTCCCCCTTCTGTGGGACCAGGGTTGGGGGGGGGATGTTGGGGAGACCCGCTCGCCCTGTGACACGGGAAGGATGGACAAGGGGGTTTTGGGGGAGTCCTGGGCACCTTCCCTGC